GCGTGGCTACTTCCCGAGGCTGCTACAATACATAGAATGTGCGTCCACTCCTGCCTGAGCACATGTGATCGCATTTTGCCGTGCTTGGCAGGATCAATTACGCCGAATTCCGAGTCCTGGCAGTAAGTCATGACTCTGGGTTAGAGGTTCATGGGTAGTTGTTGGCCCGGTTCCCAGTACCCCAAACAACGTAATGCCACCCGAGTTGTGCCGCTTACAATCCTACGTACAACTACCCAAGAACCTTCAAGTATGCATAGAGCATGAGCCGTCAAGTATAGATAGAAGCATGATAACGCTGCATCTTGACAGCAGAGATGGCTAAGCCAATCAAATAACTCTTTGAGCTCGAGGGAAAGCAGCGGACCCCAGTTCAGAGACGCGCATGCGATGCGTTTCTGGAGTGGTTCCGGAGAGGAACCGTGGGTAGTTCACTGCAAAATGAAGGCCTCCTCACTCACAGACCCCAAACAAACAAACAAACAAACAAACAAACAAACAATGATCCCATCAAAAGTTTGAAGGGCACCCGATGGCAACAAAGCTTGCGGCTGATGATGATGTCAGCATATCACTACGGGGGTCAGGGTGGCGGAGCAACCCGAAACCGTAAAATGGCCATAAACCCCAAACCCTGACAATCTTCGTTAAGGGCTCAGGGCTGAAGTGTTTACGGCTCAAGCGCGCTTCGGAGTTTAGGGGCTTCGGACTTTGGATCTGCGGTTAGACTTATCTCTTTATGCTGCATTCTGGGTGCGACATGCCCAGTCTGAGGTGAAAGTTGAATAGTGGTGAGAGTATGAGCTCCTGGTGGTCTTCAAGGCATCTATTTGCTTGCCCTAGCTATCAAGCTCCGCAACCGCCAGCGCTACTGCCACCGCCCCGGCACCCAACAAGAAGCATTCCCTCAAGTACGCCAAATATCTTGAGAGACATATCCAAAAAAAGTAGTGGGTGGACGAATCATACAGCGAAGGTATAGGAATTTGCGGGCCTAGTACCAACCACTTGTTCGATCGGGCATAATGCAGAGCCTTGACTAGTTCAGGTTCCTTTGGTAGAGTTCAAGGGCCCGTCTTAAATCGAACGTTGCGTGGTCAAGAAATACTTCCTTGAAGTGCTCGTTTGAGACCTCAGGGCCTGCAAAGCTAAAGCCTAGGCCCCCGACACAACATGTGGGGACCTCAGGATAATCGAGGGAGTCGAACTGTTTCTGTTCTTTTGAGGACAGGGGGGTTCCTACCCTAAACCCCTAAGACAACAAACCCTAAACCCCATTATTCTTCAAGCTAGGCTCTTGCTTCGCAACATCCCGCTGCTCTCCCCAAGCACATGCACATGCATCGTCACAAGGTTGCGGCGCGAGGTCTAGGGGGACGCTTCCAAATGTTGAGAACGGAGGACCTGATGAAGTATGTGGCTGGTCTCTTCATCGTACATGATCCCTCCTTGACAAAAAATCCGGCAACCCTGTGACGTGCTTCTGAATTCCAAGGCGTGAGGGCAGTAGGAGCTCATGTCATAATTTCCTCTGGGAAGAACTTCATGTCTGCCCCCAAACAAGAACACAACCTGACCTGGCTTCATCGGTAGACTTGCTGACTTCTATGGGCAGATTCTCTGGGGCTGCTGATTGTAGTGGTGCTCTTGCGCAGTCTCAGGCTATTTCTTATCGCTAGGATTTGTTGGAAAACATTGCTGCCAGCAGTTTTGCATGAGCCGCTCTTGTAGAGCTTGTGCACTCGCGGGTTAAAGATTGAGGGTGTACGGCATCCTGAACTACTATGCCTACTACGCGTTGCATTATCTTCTCCTATGAAACCAAGGGCCTATACCCCAAATTCTCCCTAGACACCCCTAGTACCTTCTACGCATAGTAGTGGGGTTCTGGCCTGGGGATCTCAGAAGGAATGGTTATATAGGAAGGATTATTATAGTACTTGGGGGTCTGTACTGGAGTCCTCCCCCACCTATTTATGGAGACCACCACTTATGTTGACAGTCATTAGGCCTACGTTCTCATGTCATTGAATCCCTAAGCACCCGCTTTTAGGGCCCCTATAACCCCAATTAAGGGTATTAGGAGGTTAACCCTAAACCCTAAACCCTAAATCGGTGAGTGGCCTATCCGTTTCCACAGCTTAGGATGGCCTATCCTCTTCCAGCATGTTGCTTTCAGATTCAAGTTGATGCCCGTGTACCCCTATAGTCCCCCTTAAGTAGATATAGGGGTTATAGGGATTATATTGGGATAGTGGAAAAGAAAATGGAAACTGCTATTTAGGGTTAGGGTTTAGGGTGTATAGTCCCCCTTAAGTAGATAGAATATGGGGTATATGGAGATCTTCTTTTTAGTATACCCAAAGCCGTGTTCTATCTACTTAAGGGGGACTATAGACTACCGTTATGCAAAAAGACAGCGCTTCATTTCGCGATGGCAACCTAAAAGACTCTGAACTCTAAACCCTAAAAGCTTCAGGTTTCGGTTGGCTTAGCGATTACATGGCGGTTGGAAACCAAACCTTCAGGAAGATGACATGTAATCGTCAACATAGCATTTTTAATCGACAGCATAGCTTGGGTTTAGCAAGAATGCGAGCATGATAGACTCGGATCTTTGAAGGCGAAGTCAAAAAGGTGCGGAATGTGGAGGAAAGGCAAGGTCTCAACCCTGAACCCTGAAGGAAAAAGAGCGTTGAGCGCCTTTGGTTACTCCAGACCCCAAAAATGCGGACACCATGACTATCAGACAACTCTTACAGGATCCTTGTTATCATTTCTGGTTGGGGTTACAAAAGCCCTCCTATAAGCTGAAGCCCTAGCCTTGTCCGTCGGTCGCCATATACACCTAAAGACCCCCAGTTTCCGTTTCATTTTGCATTTTCTTATCATGTGGCTTTCCTCTATCCTAACGCTAAATCCTAAGCTCTAAATAACATAGCAGTTTCCAGGTCATTGTCCATCTTCCTTTCCAGCTCATCCTCCTAAACCCAAACTCTACCTATGGTAGCCTTTGTATTCAAAAAAACAGTATCATTCAAGAAAACAGTGTTCTTAGGCATCATGTGCGCTTTTCTACAAAGGTACTCATTTCTGCAATTACCATTCTCTGAGACTTTGGAGCAAGACTGCTGATGCGAAATGCTATTTCTGGGAGCTGTTGGCTCCAGAACTGGAGAGAAACTACAGCTGGGAGGTCCATCGTGGGGTCTGATACTCAGTATATGGAAATCAAAGTGTTCAAACATTCAACACAATATTTCGCCCAAACTCTCAGGTCAACCGATGGATGTTTGAGGCTGGGGTGCCTTTCACTGCATATCAGGCTGTTTGCATGAAGCTTGAGCTTGATTTTTTTAAAAGTTGAAGTCATGTAGCCATTGCTTCTCTTGAAAGCAAGCGGATCCCCTTGCCCAAATTTTGTGGGGAGCCATGGAGAAGATTTGTGAAGCAAATCCTGAGATTCAAGCCAAGCTGCGTGAGCGGGGCTTCTTGGATAGATTAGCTGCATTACCCAAGCAATAGCAATGACAGTGATGCCACTGCGGAATGTGACTATCTTAAGGTCTGCTGGCTTTGCCATTGGAGTTCTGGGAGGAAGTGCTCAAAGTCTTTTACGGGACCGTGTCTTGACAGCCTTGGATGGAGACCTTTTTTTCACAGATCCATGGCATTGCTCTGTGTGTAGCCCACTCAGGCACTGAAACCAGATCCTGGCAACATGTTGCTGCTGATGGAGAATTACGACTCCAAGGGATTGGTGAAGCACCTGGTGAAAGCGTACGAAGGACAGAAGTTGGGTGCTTGAAATGTATTTTGTTAAATATAGTGAGGGTGCTGTAGTCTGCCAGGAAATGATTACGGATCATCATCAGTCAGCAGCTTACAAACTTACTGCTTCCTTATGCAGTGACATGACATCCCACACTTGGTCCATGGAACCCTCAATTCTGCCAAGGTGAGCTCCTCGACCTTGGGAGGTCACGATGACAAAGCCTCAGATGAGAAGCCAAAGGTTCAGATGCAGCAGGAGGATTCTCAGCTTCCTTTCGGCCACAAAGATGGTTAGTATGTGTGCCTGATTTCGAAAGCACTGCAGCGCTCGGCTTGTGCAAAAGGTTTTTGGCATGCAAGCATCTGATCTTGTGCATATTTACTTGTCCACGAGCATGCAGGGTCTTGATTCTGAGTCTTTGCAGGCCGGGTGACTTTGGCGATCGCTTACGATGGCCGTTCCCTTATGAGCACCTGCCAGCTTTTGTTTGCAATCGCGAAAGTCATGGGATCTTGATTTCTCTTAGCTGTGCCACTGTGCCATGCCGCTTAATATGGGCTCAGCTGTAGTCGGGCTTGCAAGTTTGAAAAGCTACAGGCCTGTAGGGAGCATGCCCGAAACTTGGCTACGCGGCCTTGCGGTTGCCTGGGAGGAGAATCATACTGTGCGGAGGACTGCCAAGGAGAGTGGGCGCCTGATATCCTGGGCCAGTACTTGTGCTTGTGTTTGGACAGTTCCAGGAAAGTTCTATCATCCCATGGACACCAGCATGCTAAGGAAAACCTTGGTCCAGAATTGCGCTGCTTTGACGGTTTTGGCAAGGGAATGGGTTAAGGACTATGACTTGGAGACCTACGGTGTCGTGAAAACCCCTCCCTTGCGGAGCCTTCAGAAAGCAGTCTCTTGGGTCAATCAGTATAAATCATTAACATGGAGCATATGTTGGGCATGACCCTGACCTTGCACTTGTCCACGCTACCCCCCTGTCAGCTGAGGTGAAAGAATTCTGGAGCCTGATTGCGAGTGATGAGGATCCTCCCACGAAGATCCAATTGCACGCTGAGTGCTGGGGATGCAAGAAGCTGATCAGCTATTGCTTCCGCCGCATTAAGATGAATCACCGGCCCCGGGCATTCTGGATTGCACTGGTGTTGCTCTTCTTGTGGTTTTCTTGCAGTACCTGTGTTGCAATATTATCTGCCCAGCTCAGGACCCTGATGTGAAGGCTCTCTTTGATATCTTCATTCAGGCCTGGTATCAGCAGGATGATGCCGCTGAAGGGGAAGAATCAGAGGAAGGTGTGGATGATGACCCAGTGGAGCCAGATGGCAGTCTGGCAATTGTTGAGGACTCTGGGGACGAGGTGCACTAGTCATGGCACATGCTGGCATGTTTCTGTATGAGCACTTTGCTAAGAACTGCTTGCGTACATGTGGTGCAGGTTGATGAAGACTTGGATGGCCAGAGTGTATCCCTGGACATGCCGGATTTGGATGATGATGAGGAGGATATGCATAAAATGGCCAGGCCTTCTTTTGCGCCGATCCTAGACCCTGCCCAGGCAGAAACTCAGGTTGAGCTCCCATCCCCACCTGGGCCTTCAACTTGCGCTTCCCCAGCTGCTGATGATGATGCTGACCTGGATGCGAAGATCGCCAGAATCGAGCAACTGCGTTGAAGTAAATATTTGGCAATCAACATGGACAGTCTCGCGTAAGTGCATATCTGGAAGCAATGTACCGTGTACTTCAGGCAGCTACTTGCAGAAAAGCGGGCTAAGATGAAGATTGTGAATACCATCGCTTCTTGCTTGCATGAAGCAATGCAGCATGTAAACCATGTGTGGCTTCATCGTGTATGGAATGCTTCCTGCCTGTTTTTGCCAAGGTTCCGAATGACACCGTGGAGAACCAGTCCTCTGGAAGCTCTGGAGGTTTGCCTGCTCAGGACATGCGGGAAAGCGGTTGGTGCAATCATGGAATTCACTCACTCTTTCTGGGAATGCTATCTGCCTGCAGGACAAGCGTGAGGTTGCGCAACGAAAGAATGCCAAGGAGTGTCTTCTTGATGAGGACACAAAGGCAAATGTTCCCACCCCTCCTGCGCAGACATGTGCCATCTCGGAGGTGGCAGGCGAGCCCACAATGTTGGTAGCTACCCAGGCCAGTGATCCACTGGCTAGTGAGAAGGCTGTGGATGAGATGCCTGGCGAAGGCTTGCCTTTCTTGATGAGGGAGGACCAACAGGCCCTGGTGAAGGCGGCTGCCCCAAAAGGCCGGGGTCGGGGCAGGGGCAGAGGTCGCGGTCGTGGGCGGGGCAAGAAGGCGGTGCAGGACTTGGAGGCCACAGGATCAAGTGATGACATGAGTGACAATGAAAGTCACGCGGAGGAGCAGGGAAAGGGCCATGCCCAGGCCAAGTCAAAGGCACCAGGGAAACCCAAAGCCAAGGCAAAGGCAAAGGCAGCAGGGAAACCGAAAGCCAAGGCAAAGGCAAAGGCAAAGGCAAAGGCAGCAGGGCAGCAGAATGGAGTGCAGAATGGTGATACAAAACCATCCCGGGGTATGAAGCGCCCAGCAGCTGCTACTGGCAAAGGCTCTCGAAAGCCCGTGCCAAACAAAGTGCCAGTGAACAACACGTTCAGCAAAAGCATGCTGGATGTCTACTGGAGTCGCACAGCTGTGGGCCTCAAGCTCCGTGGTACCACGCAGCAGGCAGGCTCCACCCTCAGCAACGCATGCTCTGTAATGGAAATGTATTCAGCCAGGTCTTCTACTTATCCGTGAATGGTGCCAGCATGGTGCAGCTGCTCTCTGTGATGTACTCGGTAGCTGCTGGGCATACTTAGTACTGTCCATGCGATTGTGTGCATCTATAAGGCAGTACACTCTGCATTCAGGCCGGGAAGCTGGATGAGCACGATGGCAACTATCTGGCTCCCCAGGTTGTTGCTGCCTTCACAACAGGGAAGGAGAGCCTAAGGCGACTGATTCACGAGGGTGCCGGGGATGTCTGAGCCTGTATTGATTTTGATTCGTGTGTCCCATGGCATTTGCTGTGGTGTGCTTCACATGAAGCTTTGACAATCTCTGCGCTTTTGGAGTGGGATGTTCCACACACGATGCTGATGTTGGCAGTTCTGCTGCTCTCCTGGTTGGGACCGGGTGCGATGTGGAAAAAATCCCAATGACATGTCTGCGTGAGAGCCTTGTGTGTCATTCTGCCTGCCTGACATGTATCTGTCCTCTCTACTCGGTTTGTGCTGCTGCTAAGGCCCTGAGACCTGGCCTGGGTTTCTTCGCTCGGCATGGCCTTCTTCCAGACCATGCCCGTGATGGAGGTATGCCTGCCAAGGTTTGCTTTGCATTGTCGGTGCTCGAACACATTCTTGACATGTCGCAACACTGGAACTTGCAAACAGCTGTGTGGCCCTCATCCCAGTGTGAGCTATAGCATCATGGATGTTTGTCCCAAGACAAACATGATTCTTCGGCGCATGTTTGCCCTCAAGCGCCCCAAAGTTTCTGGGCATGATTAAACAATATGTCATGCTGCCTACCAGATCAGAGTTCTCCCATTGTGTGAACCAAGGTGCTGATAACAGCGGTTCTACTGCTCTCGTGGATGAGCCCAGATCCCCTGCAGGACCGCTATGATGTTATTGAGTACTACGCGGGCAAGGCCCGTGCGGCACGATCAGCGAGGGCAGCAGGCCTGCAAGCGGCTGCCTTGGATGTGGCTTTCCATCGCTTCCCGCAAGTTTTCGACATGACCAGTGCTTCTGGCTTTGCGCTCTTTGGCTAGACAATTTCAATGGTACATGTCTGGGGAATCTGCACGGGACTGCATGGCTTGCAACAACCAAGGTTAGCCCTGACTGTAGCCCTGGAAGGCAAGTTTGGTCAGCTCCTATGCATGTTAGGGGTCTGTTGCAGCAGCTGGGTGGCGATTTCGAGGGGATCGAGTCACAGATCCTACATTAACCCGCAAGGGTACACTGGTTATAGAGCAGTGAATGTGGCCAACAAAATGGCAGCTCGGACGGGGTTTGTTGAAAACCTGGCACACAGTCACGGCCCTTAAATCAATGTTTCCCAATCATGTGTTTTCCCCTGCAGGACAGTGCTATTGCTACTGGTGATAGAATCTGCTTTTGGGATATGGCTGATCGAGCAGCCGGCTTCCTCGCTACTTTTTGAAACCGTGCGCTTTCAGTGGTTGATTGAGCACCTCTCCAAGCTGGGTATGCGAGTGCCTTGCTGACTTCATTGAGTATGTGTATATATAGCAGTCAACTTGCCAACTCAAGCTTGGGGTTCTCTAAGGTCTTCCTCCAACAGTTCCACATGAAATTTTTTGGACACCCAACTCCCAAGCCGACCATGGTACTCAGCAATACTCCGGAGATACAAGCTCTGCGGCATGGGAAGATGACAAGGCAGGAGCTCAAATCGGAGGTTAAGACGACTATCAAAGGTGTTCGCAAAGCAGATGGGAAAACTACATACAAAGGCTCTGCTGCCCTGAAAAGTACACAGCCCCAAAACTGCATTTAGTTCCAGTGCCTGTTGCTTCAAGCAATCTCTCTTTGCCGAACTATTTCAAAAGCCAAGGGTGTATCCAATGAAATTCGCTCTGAAGTGCCTCGAGATCCAGGATAATTGCCGGTATGATTGCAGAGACCAGATCCAGGGAGATCCTCAGCTGCAAGATTTGTTGTGTGCATGTAGCTCAGGGATCAGCTGTCTTTGTGGGTGAGGGTTGCTGCTGCACTGGTCAGGTGGACATGGAAAGCGATTTGCGGGAAATGTACAAAGCCCTGCCATGGGGAGACACATGGGATGATGCACACATGCGGCTTGTGATCTTTTACATTCGTGGGTCAAAGCAACTGCGTATTCCTGACAGCTGGAGATCGGTTCTGCCCACATATGTGCCTGTGAGTGGCTGACTTTCCTAAGCTTTCAGAGTCAGGGGGCTTGTGTTTAAATGTAGTTACATAATGGAGTTTAATATGTAATGATATGATATATATAACACAAACCACAAAGGGGAAGACTATAATCCCAATCCCATTCTATAATGTCGAACCCTCTAGAATCCTCTGCTACTGTGCTACTGTGGCCTGGCCTAGCAAAACCCTAATGTGCCTACTTTTTAGATCATGTGCGTTTTTTGAAAAGAGGGCCGCAGACCCCCCGTCCAAGGTACGTCCTTTTCCCGTCCGAGGTGCGCCCTTTTGCCGTCCGGACGCCCCCCCGTCCGGAGGTCATGTGCGCTTTTTGAAAGAATGTATTCATTTCTACAATCCACACCCCCGTCCGGGCCCGTCCGGCCCCGTCACCCCCCCCGTCCGCCCCCGTCCGCCCCTGTCCGGCCCTGTCCCGCCCTGTGTGCCTCCATGCGGCCCTGTCAGCCCCTGTATTCCCTTAAGTAAGCACCTATGACTCGTACTCCGTCCAAAACAGATTCCAATATTCCTTCTGAGCCCTGCCCAACCCAGAGTAGCATCTCCTCTATCATCATAAAAGAATTTGCCCCAAGATGACACTTCTATAGCTATGTATACATATACTAGAAATTCTTCTGTTGAGGGGGGGGTACAGCAACAATCCTATGCTTTTTGGAAGCCCTTACTAGAAATCTCTCAAAGGAAGCCACACACAGGCACGCCTGCAAATTCAAGCTGTGGACTTATCCACAGCCTGAGGAAGAAGTCATGCGCTTCATGTGCCACACGCAAGACAAAGGACAGTTTGATTGAACTCTGCGCGTTGGGTACTACCCCCACTCATTAACACTATAACTATTTATCTATAATATATATGCCTTTAACAAGACCCTATATAGACTGTTAATGGGTGGGGGCAGGACCCAATGCATGCAGCCAAATCAATTCTCAGGCAAATATGCGTGGGTCTGTATATACAGACTTTCCCAAATGCAGTGTGACCGGGCCGAGGCACTTGGATTTCAGGTTTTGTTGCCATGTCGCAGGATCCTGACCCCGCTGCGGCCTGCAGGCCAGCAAGTCGAGCATGGAGCACAGGTACTTTACAGACTGGGCAAGCAGCCATAGCTGCACAGCAAGTTAAAGAAGAGGATGACCTAGAGGTGCTCAAGTTGCAGCAGGAGTTGCAGGACATGTGCAAGGGTCTCATGTGCAATCTTCAGCGAAAGTGACAAACTCTTCCCTGTTCAGTTTTAGAAATTGCTTTGAAAGGACCTTCGACAAAAGCGCCATGCACGGGTGGCCTCGCCGAAAATGCCTTCCCCAACCACTATGGCAGCATTGCCTCCAGGGGCACAGGCTTCAATCACTACCCCGGGGAAGGTTGTGAAGAAGCAGGCTCTTGAGAAGATCGTGGAGGATGGTTTGAACGATACCCAGCGAGATCCTTCCCTGACACCTCTGCCGAGGAAGAGTTTGTTTGAGGCTGCTTGGACTTCGTGTATCCCAACTTAATTATTTCTATAATAATGTGATCCCTGAAACCTTAGAACCCCAATACACAAACTACCCTGTAATCAAATCCTGCAAGGCCTCCCCGAGTCCGGCAAAGCCAGCAGCGCCAGCAAGCATGGCCGACGATTCCACAGGCAGCACGCCTGTGCAGACAGAAGTGGAGATGCTTCGGGAACAGCTTCGGGCCATGCAGTTGTCGAATGAGGCCAAGGATGTTGAGAATCGAAACTTGCAAGCTCTGCTCAACGAGAAGCAGGAGTCAGACTTTGACGAGGGTATCAGTGATGATGCATTGCGGAAACGTCTGAACCGCTTATGCGAGCGCAAGAAGAATGGGCACCAGGGCTATATATACATGCATAGAAGTAATCAGTCCTATTGCATGTATTCAAGTTCACCTACTCAGGCATTTGCAGGTCCCGCAGGAGCTGCACGACATGTGGCTCAAAGGAGGTGATGAGCGCAAGCTCCTATTACAGCGCCTCCAGGAGGCTGGTCTTGACAAGGCATCCTGCATCATAACCTTAGCTGTCTGCATTCATGACTTTCACATGCTTTCTGCGAATCCGCTTTCAGGACAAGTTCATTTCCACAGTCTGCTTGGAGATCAAGCAGAAGGAAGGTGTCAAGGTCCGGATCCGGGCACAATGGGCTACTGAGGATAAAATGAGGGACATCATGAAGCTGCGTGAGCATCTTGGCTTAACCTCTTGTCTGTCATCAGTGCATGTCAGCTGCGTGCAGGCTTGAAATGTTTCTGAATCATCCAAGGTCCCGCATCAAGGGCGTTAAGGAGTATTGCGAAGCCAATCGGGCAGAATTGATCGGGTGCCTCACCTCATCATGTTTTCTTCGCTCACTTTTCTTGTTTCACCAATGCAGTTCCTTTGCTATGCCCAGGTGGGACAAATACGAAAACAAGCCCAAATACTGGTATGAGGAGGATTTGGAAATGGAGTGGGAGAAGCAAAAGGAACGAAGTGCATCCACAACTACAAAAATGGAGATGCAGAGGACAGGCGAAAACGTTGCCAATGACATGACGACGCCCATGCAGATGGATATGCAACTTGCTGCCCGAGGCCATGTCACTAAGGGGGCTAGCTATTTAGGTCAGCAGCACCCGCCCCCTATCACAAACCCATGAATCCCCAAACTCTTGTCAGGCATGGGCGAGCCTGGCAAGGCTCCGGTGCCAATGACCACTGGATCCAGGGGAGGAGACTCGCTGCTTCCTTGCGTGCCAAGGAATGCTGTGCCGTCCAGTGTTGTGACAAAGTACATGGATGGACTTGCAAAGCGGATCAACAAGGTAAATGATTCTTGTTATAGAGTGTTAAGAATGGAAATTTCTTTCAGAAACCTGTCAGGTGCCCCCTACAATAGTTATCATACCGAAAACAAATTCGAGGGTAAGACAAGTTCTATAGAACATGGGTTATTATACGGGGATCGCCTGGGTTGTTTGTTATCATGTTCTGAGCCCTGCAGTATCCAAGGACCTGGGTCAGAAGTATGGAGATATCGATCCGAAGCTGAAAACCCCCTGCCATGATCAGCAACTTGCATTTTCAAAAGAAGCCATTTTCAAAACCACACAAATTGGCCGCCCCAGTGTAAAATGCCTCAGACCCTTTATAATCCCTTATGTATATACAAACCCTATAAATATGCCCTCTAAGGATTGTGGCCAAAGTTGGCAAATTGACAAAGGATTTGGAGGCTGTGCTCAGCAAGATGACCGATGTCTACTCCGAGGGAGCTGTAGAAGGCTACAGTGCAGAGTCCCCTAGATTAATGTATTTTTACACTTCCTATAAAAGAACTTTCCTCATTCTTTGTTAACTTAATAGATCATCTCAGGCATGAGGATACATTGCGGGGTCTTTACAAGGAGGCCACGAAGCTGCTAAGTCCTCAGAAAACCTTTCAAATCCATGATCCTGATGTTTGGGTAGGGCCCTGGAAGTGATTCATTATTGTTTTGCAACAGTGCCATCCATCTAAGGACACAGGATTCTGTGACCCTGGAAGTGCGGACCAAGTCAATCCCGATTCCAAAGAGTTCTGCAGTGAAGCCCAAAGCCAAAGCCAAAGGCACCCCCAAGGTTGCACCAAAACCCGCGGCGAAGCCAGAAGCGGCGAGTGCCAAGCCTGGAAAGCGTGGGAAGAAGTAAGATCCCCTGCCTTCATGTCACGATCATCTCTATAGAATCTTTCATGTCAGAAAAGCCTTGCATGAAAACCAGCGGTCCTACCTTCGGGAAACATTACTACAAAAGTCGTGGCTTGGGGCAGTGGAGTTTTGAAAGCTTTACCCTGTTTGCGGCCTGACCTGCAATGGGGACTTTGATCGATACATGTCAAAGCTTTGCCAGCTGCGTCTGCTGAAAATTGCATTGGCAGAACCATGTGTCCGATGTTGAGGCATATACATACTCCCCCAAAAATGCAAACTTGACAATCAGTGTGCCAGGTCAAAATGAAGCTCGCCGCCCTCGTGTCGGAGCTGTTATGAGATGTCTTGCTCATGCCCTTGCCCAAGGAGTCTGCAACCTAGCCTCCGAAACTGAAAGTCTGACTGAGCTAGTGTAGTGTAATAGATCCTCTTATAAATTCCCCGCCCAGGCACCAGCCACGGATCTTCGAAAGCACGCCCAAGCTGCTCTCCAGGAGCTACCTGCAGAGTTGCAGCCAGAAGCTTTGAAACGCTTTGCGGCAAGCTCCCGAATGAGCACAGCAGAAAGGGACCTTCTACGGGTTCTTCGAGATGTGGGCTATCTCAAAGGCTGACTGTGGACAGCTGCAATGTTGGGGCAATCACTGTCAGGAGCATTGCTCTGAAAACATGGTTCCGCTACTTGCTGAATGTGAGGAATGGTGGCCAGTTGCTGGGTGGCTTCGCAACAACTGATGCCTATGCTAAAGTCTGCTTGAAAAGCTTTTCGGAAGCATTCCGAAGAGAACGGCCAGAGCATGCAGTGTTCGAATTGCATGATGCTAGGCTTGACCATGTCATACCGTACTGTGTACACCTTGATGAGGGCAGAGGTTTACGCAAATCGGCTGTGATGATCATCCATGCTCAAGGAGTCTTTGGCGCAGACACGGCGCCGAACTTCAGGCAGAATTTACAGCTCCTCTTCCAGGATTACCTCACGGAATCGGAAATGGAAGACATGATGTTGAGGAATCACTTTCATAATGGGAGGGGGTGCACTTTGCGTAGCCGCTTGCTATACACGATTTTGCCCAAGGCATCCTACACGAAGAACAACGCTAGAGTTTTTACTGCTGTGCTCAACAGATTGCGCGAAGAGGGTACATCGCTTCTGGAAGATGGTTTTCACATGATGGTTCAAAGTACTTTGCTGCCCTTGTGGCAGTGAAAGGGGATGCCCCGGCTTTGGTGAAGGCAGGAAACTTCACAAGGAACTTTCAGTGCTTGGGCAATCCCATATGTTGGGAATGCATGGCAGGTGCCCCTAACATACCATTTGAGGATTGCCGGCGCAACCCTATTTATGAGGCTACAATCCATACTGAAAGACCTTGGCGAATACCGGGACCACTAGCACAGGTTCCTGGAGTTCCTGGAAAGCCTGAACTTGTATACCAACGGGATCCCTTCCATGTCTACAAACAGTCTGTTGGTGGATCTTTTGTAGCAAGCTCCATAGTGGTGGTCGCAGAAATGGGGTACTGGAATGCTGAAAACAATGTCTTTGCAAATGTGATGGACCGGGCCTATACTGACTTCGCGCATTTTGTGCAGAATGAATGGGCTGGACCAGGAGTACCCCACATGAAGCACTTCACGAAGACGAACCTGCACTATCCACGCGTGAATTCCTTCCCTTATGCTCGTCCAAAGGGTTCTGATGTCATGTTGCTCACAAGGTGGCTGAGGCACTTGGTGCTTCATGGACCCCTGCTTCATGGCATGCGTGCTGGTGACATGGTACGCAATGCGTCGGATGCGTGGCATATTCCGATCCTGGAGAATATTTCAAAGGCTGCAACAGGAGCTCTGCAGTTCTTTCGCATTGTTCACAACAGGGGCCTGTGGCTCACGAGGGGCCTTGCGGAAAGTCTGGGTGAAGCATGCTTCCAGTTCTGTGAGTGCTATTGCGCTTTAGCACAGCTGTGCCACAACCAGGAGCTTACCCGGTATTCTCTGGTGCCGTCCTTGCATTACTTTCATCACTTCTACATGGATATGAAGACCAAGCTTGCAAATCCGAATGCTAAGTACATAGCCTCGCCCAGTGTTGCAAACTGCGAGGCTGACGAGGACTTCATCGGCAAGGTTGCTAGGATTAATTCTAGGCATGTTCACCCAAGGGTGACAAATGCTCGCACGATAGACCGTTACCTGGTCAAACTTCATTTCGTGTATGCTGGGGAAACTTGAAAGCCATACAATTGGAAACTTATTATAAACCCCCTAAACTTAAATGTTTCCCTGGGATACCACGAGCTTGGATGATCTGCGAATCAAGTTGCGCAGCCGCCGTCCATGGAGTCCGGAAAGAATCGCTGTGGCAGGCTTTACATTGGGATGAGCTGGGGAGGTTTTGCTTTATCCAGGAGGATTTATATAGGGGTTTATGTTCATGGGAATCTGGATTGGAGTGGTAATACAGGGGTTTCGTGAAGGACAGCAGGCCCCACAATCCTTTCATGTACGTTTTTTGATTTGAGCCTTCTGGAATGTACTCGATTTTATTCTCATGTGCGGAAACTGCACACTCACAAGTCATGTGCAAAAAAAGCAAGGACCCAGGTGACTCCAGGTAGACCACAAAGCATGCCCTGGCTGCACTCCCTCAGACTTGAAATCGTTTTATGGTTTGCAGGGCTATAAGGGATAATGGAGACTCAAATGCAAAATGAAGCGGAAAACAAAATCGATGCCTTAATTTAGGGTGTCAACCCCCTAGTGTAACTTATACTAACTCTAAACCACAAATCCGGAACTCTAAACCCTAAAACAACTGATGCTTTATAGAGGGTTCAGGCAGCGGGGTAATGCCTTGCTGAGCATGTCCTTGGCCTATGACTTGCCCTCGTGAGCTCAGCAGGTATAGGGATCTAGGGTTTAGGGTTGGGGGTTGAAGGATTAGGGAACATGCTTCAGAAGAATTCCCCTGATTATTTCACCTGCTTAGGGATACGTGCGTCTAGAGTCAAGAACATGGGAGTGTCTCCAAGAAGCCAGACCCTGGAGACCCAAGGGATTGATGATAGGGTTTACATAGACATTATGGGAGTCTCTACGCCCTAAACCCTGATAAGCCCACGTAGAGCTCATAGAGTGCCTCCCTCTGCCCAGATGTTCATGCGCGCTGCCCCCTTTGGGCGGGGCGGCCAAAGGCCGCAAAATGGGGGGGGGCCGCGGCCCGTTGGAGACTCTATCGGGTTCAGGGTTTAGAGTACATAAGGAACATGACCCACTACCCCTAAACCCTAAACCCAACAGCTGTTGGGTTCCCCATGAACTAAGCTTCTGTAGATGATTCAGGCTAATTAAACCCTAGTTTTGGAGGACACCCCAGAAACAAGTATAGACTTTTTGGGTATAAGTTGTTATAGTAAGAGAACCCAGGAACCAAAAACGTATTAAAGTGTAGTACTCCCATATTGGGTAAAGGGAGGAGCCTAGGCTGGTCAGTATAGGAGGGTTGGTAGGAGAATTCGCGATCCTTAGATACCCTGAGCCCTCAAAACCTCAAATCCCCGAATCAAGTAGGGGAATCCATGATTCCTGAATCCCCAAACACTCAACCCCCCTAAACCCTAAACCTTAACCGCTACTTGCTTTCATTCCAGCTCTCCGAGCCTAATTTCTGTGCTTCCTCGCTCAAAAAAGGCAAACCCTTGAACTATAGTAGGATTATTTCTAGTAAGACTTTGCCCTAAGGGTCCAAGTACCTAATAATCATATACTTACCCAAAAACCTGTACTATAGTTGACATTACCCTAAACCCAAGTGCCTAATTATTGGGTACTCGGGCTCTGAACCCTAAACCCTATACATCCCTATATATACCTATATACCCCCATAGTTCTACTTTAAAGGGACCGAAGCATTGGGTACATGGACCCTCTGGGTTACTAAGACAATTTGACCCGCCATCCCCAGAAGTTGCCAAGTTGGTGAACGAAGCTTCCACCCAAAGCCCCCGATACAACAAAAACGGAATTAAGAGGGTTTGGGTATATCAGGGTCATATTAAGGGGGTTTGGGTATATTGGGGGTCACATTAAGGGGGTTTGGGTATATTAGGGGTCACATGAAGGGCTACATATACACATCTTATTATAATATCCAGCTGTTACAGAATTGCGGGGGCAGTACCCACAGCATCGTTCTCAGGGTTGGGTTGTAAGGGATAATGGAGAGTCACATGGAAAATACCATAGAACATGAAATGGAAGCTACATTCTAGGGTTTCAACATAGGGTAGGTTTGGGTGCCATATATGTATATATATACAAATATATGTGGACAACTAGCCCGTCTTGGCTTCATGGAGGGGAGTTATACAAGGATTAGTCAAGGGGAGTGGAAGTTTAAGATTATATAGAAACCTACACCTGACACAAAAGAATGTGCCCATAATGTGAAAGGAGGTTTATCGGTAGACACCTTAGTTCAGTGCTTCTATCCTTCGAAGCACCCTATGTAAACCCAGTTTCCGTTCCATTTTTAATGTTCTTGTCCCGTTGCCTCTCCACTGTTCGTAGTTTCCTGAAGTTGTCCCAAGTGGGACAAGTTTTAGATATGATAGCAACTACTTACCTCTTTCTTTTCCACACCCCGTTCATCCCCAAACCATAAACCCTGAACCCTGTTCCTTTGTATAAAGCAACTATCACCTCGGGTATAGTCCCAAATTGAAGGGTCGCGGGCTCTCTGATCATTAGCAGCTCCCTTCCGCCTCACTGCATAGGTGACCTGCGCGACTTCTGCAAAACAGGGTCAACCCAGGGCTTTCCAGGCTATATAGGGCTTAGGATTTGGGTTGAGAGTTTAGGATTTAGGGTTTAGGATTTAGGGTTTTGGGGCTTAGCATTTGGGCCTAGAGTTTAGAAATTTACTCCATGGTAGGGTCTAGGGTTCGCTGGCTTGTTCGAGGCAACGAAGGAAAGAATCCCCATGCTTATTGACAG